ACAAAGTATGAAAAAGGTGGATAATGAAGAAGATATTGTTTTTTGTACTTTGTTCCCTTAACTACCCATGCTTCCTGAAGATTGTGAGGCAATTTTTCGACGATAGAGTTTATTCCCTTTGATGTGTCAAGGAATCCAAGACCAGGTAGATTGCCTTCCTCTTTTACTGCTTGCACTTCCAGGAGCAGATCTGCGAGTGCTTGCAGCTGATTGAAGTCTTTGTGAGAAATCTTAGCGAAACTCTCTAAACGTTTAAATAAAGATGCTTCGATTACCTCTGGGGAACCGTATTTTCTGTCTAAACGTTGCCATAAATGTCTAAGGCCAGCTTCAGGATCATGTGCATGGGCCGCTCTTATTCTCAGAGCATGCCGGAGGGATTCACCTTCAAGCCACTTAGTAAGCAAATCGATCTCTTCATTGCCTTTTAGATTTAGACCATTAATGGCATTCAGAAACGCTGTTTTCCAGGGTATGTAATTCTCTGGCTTGTTGTCAAATACTTTGAAGCTGCAAGTGAGAATATCACGGCGTGCAAGAAACACTGCAAGATCAGACACCTCGCTGGATCGAGGTACTGGAGCACTTGGCGAGCAGGTGTTTCTCACATGAGAGGGAAAGCAATTTGGCTGCCTTGTATGCTGATACCCCATTTGGTCATGTCTGCTTGCTGCATTTACAACGTTAGGAGTAGACTGGCTGATTCCAGGAATGTCTTTGTGATCTGCACTTGCTTGATCATCCTCTTTCTTCATACTCTTGTTCTGAGAAAAGTGTGTCCTAATGTATTCTTCTGTGCGTTCAGCAGCTAAAGAACTACCCCTTTCAGTTTCGTCGTTTGAACAGATTGCGGCAGATTCCAACACCCTTGCTGCTGCGAGGGCTGCTTCAGCTTCTCCCTCCTCTTTCAGAGCATTCAGCGTTGCTTCAATCCTAGCCTTTTCGATCTCCATATCTATCTGGCGCTTAGCAAACTCAGCTCTTGTGCGTGCGGCCTCTGCCTTAGCGCGTGCTTCAGCTGCAGCTTGGCTTGCATTAGATTTATGAGAGCGACGTGAGGATGAAGTGTTGCTGGCTGAAGATTTAGCCTCTGACCTGGTTTCAAGCTTGGAAGCTTGGCTGTGTTTCGACGAGTGGGACATTCTGGTTCTTTCAGCAGATAGAGCGCATGTAGTCCAGTATTAAGCTCTCAATGTGAAGTCAATCTTTTCACTCTTCTGCCCTCAGCTTGTGTTTGCTTTTGCAGCGAGTTAAACAAAGGCTTAGTAAAAGTCGTAGACAGTTGTCAGGGTCAAACTTTCTTTACTGAAGCCCAATTTGTGAAACTGTAACACAAATGAACAATGATATCAAAAAAGTATATCTTACAATATTACATTCAGTTCACATAGATCAAAACAACATTTAAGATGCACATAAATCACCTTTACATAACTTAGAAGATAGCTGTACTAAGAAGGAGAAACAATCAAGCATCACAATTATGTGCCATGGGTTACATTTAACAGATCACATGTAAATCGGTCTCAAACATGTCTATAACCTATCAGAATACATGTAATCATATTTTACCACTTAGATTAGTCTTTAAACTTACAGATTGTGCCTTTTTCAAGAGCGAAACAAGAAGGATGGACGTGGATGCATCTCTACACTCTGCACCATGAGCTCTAGAATCCAAAATGGTTGATATATTATTAAAGGCGATGTACTACTTAAAGTGACCACAAGGTGTCAGTATTAACAAAGTAAACTATAATATAACCAAGGCCAGAATAACAGAAAACAACACTCGAAAAAACAAGTCCATGAGGGAGGTGGAGCTGTGGGGAATCAAGGGAAAGGACGGAGGGCCAGGACCATGGGAGGGAATGGAACCAGGGGATGACAGTTCATCGGGCGGCCTGGGCGGAGACGACCCTTCAGGCGACCTGGGCGGGACAGGTAGTTCATCGGGCGGTGACGACCCTTCAGGCGGCCAGGGCGGAGCAGGAAGCAGGGTTCGTACAGACTCCTGAGGAAGTCCATCGGGCGGCCAGGGCGAAGCAGACGACCCATCGGGTGGCCAGGGCGGTGAAGACCCCTCGGGCGGCTAGGGCGGTGAAGACCCCTCGGGCGGCCAGGGCGGTGAAGACCCCTCGGGCGGCCAGGGCGGTGACGACCCCTCGGGCGGCCAGGGCGGTGAAGACCCCTCGGGCGGCCAGGGCGGTGAAGACCCCTCGGGCGGCCAGGGCGGTGAAGACCCCTCGGGCGGCCAGGGCGGTGAAGACCCCTCGGGCGGCCAGGGCGGTGAAGACCCCTCGGGCGGCCAGGGCGGTGAAGACCCCTCGGGCGGTGAAGACCCCTCGGGCGGTGAAGACCCCTCGGGCGGTGAAGACCCCTCGGGCGGCCAGGGCGGTGAAGACCCCTCGGGCGGCCATGGCGGTGAAGACCCCTCGGGCGGCCAGGGCGGTGAAGACCCCTCGGGCGGCCAGGGCGGTGAAGACCCCTCGGGCGGCCATGGCGGTGGAACAGGAACAGACCCTGGCTCAGGAACAGGCACAGACACCAGCTCAGGCACAGGAACAGACACCGGCTCAGGAACAGACACCGGCTCAGGAACAGACACCGGCTCAGGCTCAGGAACAGACACCGGCTCAGGCTCAGGAACAGACACCGGCTCAGGCTCAGGAACAGACACCGGCTCAGGCTCAGGAACAGCCACAAGAACTGTAACAGTCACAAGAACAGACACAAACACAGAAACGAACACTGGCTCTGGAACAGGCACTGGCTCTGGAACGGACATTGGCTCCAGCTCTGGAACATGCACTGGCTCTGCCTCCGGCTCTGGAACAGGCCTTGGCTCTGCCTCCGGCTCTGGAACAGCAGACACTGGCTCCGGCTCTGGAACAGACACTGGCATCGGCCCTGGAACAGACACTGGCTCCGGCCCTGGAACAGACACTGGCTCCGGCCCTGGAACAGTCTCTGACTGGGCAGACGGAACGTGAACAGTCTCTGACTGGGCAGACGTGACGTGGACAATCTCTGACTGGGCAGACGCAGGTCTCCTTCTCCTCCTCCGTTTCGGGACCACCTTACTCGGGACCACCGGAACAGGGACCACCGGGACCGGGATCACCGGACTAGGGACCACCGGGACAGTCACGGAGGAGGTCTTTCTTCTCCTCCGTCGTCCCTTCTGGCGAGGTGCTGGTTCAGGACGGGACAGGACCCGCGGCGAAGGGTGTTCTGGGCTGCGCGTCACCGGATCATGGTCGAAGGAAGACCGAAGTAGAGACTGAGTCCGGGACTCCCCTCTAGTACTTCCTCCTCTGCGAGCTCCACGGGTCCCCGAAAATCTGGCCAGACGCTCTCCTCTAAAGGACTCTCTGTCGTCGAACGAAAAGTCATGGCCTCCTCCCTTTGCCGAGCCACAAAAGCAAACGCCTGCAAAATGTTCATGCTGCTGGACCCATTTGAGGACGGAGTCATTCTGTCACGATCGCTAGCGGAGAATTGGGTGGATCCAAAAGCAGCAACATGATAGTCAGGGCAATCCAAATCATCGTCATCCATGCAAGAGTCGTAATCCAAATAGTCAGAATCATACTCATCCGTGCCAGTGTCAAAAACCATTTTAATCCGTCCGAATAACAAATAAAACAAAACAAGCAAGAACAAACGAGAAACAGACTTGAAACAGACCTTGGCGTTGACGAGTGACATACAATACAATGACTCCGTGACATGAACTAACACAGACAGGGTATTTATGCACAGACACTAACAACATAAATGGGAACAGCTGGGTGCAATCACAAGTGATGGGAACAAACAAGGATTATGGGAAATGTGGTTCTAGAGTGAATGGATACAGGAAGGAAGGGACCTCTAGTGGACACCCAGTGAAAACACAACCAGACACTGTGACATCAACAATATTTTAAAATGTATACGATGTTTAACAGTTAGCCAATGCAGTTGATAAAACCAGGCTAATATGGTCATACGTCCTGGTTCTGCTAAGAACTCGAGCTGCTGCATTTTGGACCAGCTGTTGTTTATTTATTAAGCGTACAGAGCAACCACCACTTCACGACGAGAATACTTTTTGTGCGCAAAAAACAAACAAAAATAACAACTTTATTCAACTATTCATTTCCTTCTCTCGTTGGCCTCGAAATTTCACGTAGTGAAACTGCGCAAAGCTTCTAGGTTGTATGTCACACGCATCACACACATGACCAGCGTCGGCCAATAGTGAGCCTGCGTGTGACGTACAACACAGAACCGTTGCGCAGTTCCACTACGTGAAATCCCGAGGCCAACAGAGAAGGAAATGAATAGTTGAATAAAGTCGTTATTTTTTTTATTTTTTTTGCGCACAAAAAGTATTCTTGTCGCTTGATAAACTTAAGATTGAGCCACTGTAGTCACTTTGACTATTTTAACGATGTCTTTAATAACTTTTGGGCCGGCAAGTTTCGATCCCTTAAGAAGCCTATGGAGAAGTGATCCAGCTCTCAGATTTAATTTGTGTTCCGAAGATGAACGAAAGTCTTACGGGGTTGGAATAACATGAGGTTGAGTAATTACTGACAGAATTTTCATTTTGGGGTGAACTAACCCTTTAATTTTGTGAATTGGTAAGTTTCGTCAGGGCGTGAAGTGAAATAACAGTAAGAACTAATGCCATGCTTCCTAATGGGTAGCATGTACAGAGTAAACAGCAATGGTCCTAGTACTGAGCCTTGTGGTACTCCATGCTGAACTTGTGATCGATAAGACACATGCAGTCCAATCTGTTTCTTTGTTTTTTTTTAAATAAGACTTTAAATCCAAATTCAAATTCACTCCAGCTCTCTTTTGTTTTCCTAACATTAAAATAGTACACTTCTGATTTGCCTGGTCCATGTGAGTCCCGTTCTCATTAAAACAATGTTTCATGCTAGATGAAACTTGTATCCAACTGCACGATGATTTATGACTAACTTTATTGTATATGATTTCTGCAGGAGTGCTGATGATTGACCAGTCTCAGGGATTTTGGCTCACACACAGTGTTCCTCATTTTCCTCCATTTCCAGAGAGAAATTACAGTTACCCATCTACAGGAAAATACTACGGCCAGACTCTGCTCTGTATTACATACAACTATTCACAGTTCCCTCAAATATGTGAGCACATGCTATGCTTATTGTATAAGATTAGTTTGATTTAAAAAGTGGTATATTTTAGTGATCACAATTCTGAAATAAGTATTCCTCTCTCTTAACAGCATTGCAGTTAGCATATCTTAATCCACGTATGTATAACTGCTCTGTCCCTGGGGCATTTCGCCAAGATATTGCTGAAATGGCTCAAATTTGTGATGGTAAAACACCGGCCTTAAAAAACAGGAGGAGTCTGCAGAAGCTGAAATCAGTTGGAGGACAAACTTTTTTCAGTTTTGCCAAATCACGCAACTATGTGGATGGTGAGAGCTCTTAAATTAAAAAAAAACTCTTCTGTATATTTAGACCGGTGGCACAACATAGCAGTTTATTGACATTACATTATTCCAAAGTACATCACAGTGCCTAAGCAACTATTTACATTGATTATGTAAGCAATGTACAAGACTCAAGTTCAACCTTTTTTATGTTTTATGGAGTTTATTTTTTTTTCACATACATTTGTATAGATAGTATATTACTACAATGTTGCATAGTATATTTTTTATTATTTCTCACTATACTAACAATCATGCTATACACAGCTTATACAGTTAAAGCTGTATTAAGTAAACATTAATGCTGTTAAACCATATACTGTAGATCTAATACTTTTATATTTTAACTGAACAAACTTATACTAAGAAAAATCTGAACAGAGGTAACACAATAAAACCGAGATAAATTATAATGCAACACTTTTGTTGTAAAATCAATCTTACATGGTAACAAATAAAATGTCATAACATTAGTTTACAGCAAACCATAAAATAAAAAAATAATGTACTGTGAAATTAATTATGGTAGTTGTTTAACTGTATATTAAATTACAGTGTGCTTACAGCAGTGCAAAGCTAACCACAGTAAGCATATTTACATTATACGCAACTAAATCTGATAGTTAAAAAAAATCTATTAGAGGCCTATTAGTGTCATGTATGGTTGTAGTAGTCATGCGCACGACGAAAGAAGTAGAGTACTACCTACTTATGGAAAAACAAGCGTGTCGCGAGCGCGTCGCTACTATTATGAGCAGGCCTACGTATTTTTGAAATAACGAAGTTGCACAATGAAAAAAAAACGGTATATGTGAACGGTCCCTTAGACGATACTGGACAAATTAACTGAGGAAACTCAGGGCCTAAATACAAGGGGAGAGTAATCAAAATAAAAAAGGAACAGGAGTGTAGAACTAATTAACAGCCAAGGAAACCAACTAGGGAACACTGGCAAACCAGAACAGGGAAAACAGAACCAAAACACATTGGCCCTCATTTATCATTCTTGCGTAGAAACGGGCGTATATGTTGGCGTAAGATTATGCTTACACTCCTCTCACCACCTGATTTATGAAGCTGTGCGTACCTTTGAAATCCAGGTGTACGCAATACCTGCCCTTGATAAATCCCGCGGCTGAAAACGATCGTCATTAGAATAACACGGCCCTATATATTCAAGTCTCCGCTTCCCCCACGCCCTCATTTTACGCCATGTACACACGGAAGACGGCACAGAAGAGAAACTTCTCAGACGTGGAGCCGAAATGACCTATCACAATGCATTATTTTACAGCACGTCTTTTTAAACAATTAGCATTCAATTTCGAATCACGTCACATGTATTGGGGTGTACAATAGTGATGATGATGATGTGATGTGGAGTACCATTCATTCACATTAATAATTGCATGACAATTTGTAATATTCTTCTTATTATTATGATTTTTATTATTAATGACGCTTATTGTTATTTAGAAGAAGAACGTTGTTATTATTATTTGTATTATTATTATTATTTAAAAGAAGAAGAATGTATTTTTTATTATTTTGTCAGTCTGAATTATTTTTTGGTCATTGAAAGCCTTTCATTACCGAACCCAGTCCGTGCGCACCTGCCGGGCCTAACCCTGAAACGTCAGGAATACATATGGCTACAAATCAAATGCTTTGGTAAAGTCACACAAATTAAACATTGAAGTCCATGTTGCACAAAAATAAACACTGAAGTTTATAATTACTATGTTGTTGTTGTTGTTTTTTACAGTGGGTCATAATATATCATATCTTTCAGTTTGTCAGTGCGTTTTGTGGTGTTAGGAATTGTTTTTCTGCGCATTTCCGCACTAACTCAAAACGTGCGTACACCACCTCCTGAGCTGGCGCAGGATTTGAGCGTGCCGTACGCCAACGTCCATATTGATAAATCTCAAAGTCACTGTGGTTTTGGGTGTACGCCAGGTGTTCGCTGGAAATTTGGTGTACGCACTTTTGATAAATGAGGGCCATTGAAACTAAACCAAAACAGAACATACATGTTACGATACATACATATTTTTACACTAATACTAAACATAAGAAACATTCTGTGAAACACAAAAGCAAAAATCATGAGGTTGTTTTCAATGCAATAGCCATGAATGAGAACTGAGACTTTCAAGCTTAAACAGAAGCCTCGATTGCTTTCAAAAATATAAAAATGTCTTAATGATTTTGGTCTGTATCTTAACCAAATCTGCCTATCCACGTCAGTAGATTTGAAGAATAGCAAAGAAGTAGCACGGACTACTTTTAGAATATATTTATGGTACTTTAGCATCCTTTTTGAAGCATGAATGCGTCAGTCCCATTCATTGCAAAGGAAAGAATAACAGACACAGTCTTCAAAATTTCTCGTTTTATGTTTCACGGAAGCAAGGCTTACAAGGCACTTAAATGCATTATGATATTTGCATATTCCTTGTTGCATCAGAAATTTGATTGTCAGAAGGTTTTCAGTGAGTGGATAAATTATGATGTATTTTAACTGTGGTTGATGACAGAATTTTTGGGTGAACAGTTTTGGGTGACCTATTCTTTTAGCATAAATAATTTGTTTTAGGATAATAAGACACTAATTCCATGCTAAATGCTAAACACTCTCTACAGATATTTACACAGGTTGGGTGGCTCAAGCATTGGGGACAGATCTGCTGGTGGAATCGTGGCTGCACCAGGCACATCAACTCCCCTCTAACTGCTCACTTCCCCGGCATGTGATGAACATTAACAGAGTTTGTCTCCCAGGACCTCAGATGTTCAGAAGCTACGAGGATCATTCTAAGTGGTGTGTGTCCTATGCTTTTAAAGACCAGTGGATATGTCTGGGGGACTTGAACAGAGACAGTGGTCAGGCTGGCAGAGGTGGTGGTCTAATATGTTCTCAAAACTCAATAATTTATAAAGCTTTCCGTCAGGCCATGGCCGGGTATAAACACTGCTGAAAAATACTTTCAGTAGACTTAACCAGCTCTGGACTTTGGAGCATGAATTACTATATGACGGGGTTTTATACAAGTTTTGACTTGAACCTAGATGTAATTATGAAAGTTGATAAGTGTGACAGTAAAAAAAACAAAAACATAATGGTACATTTAATTGGAGGGGGAAAGTGATTTTTGTGGTTGTTGTCTCAATGGATGGATGGATGGTCAATCAATCAATCAATCAATCAATCAATCAATCAATCAATCAATCAATCATTTACATAGCGCTTTCATATGTACTCCTGTACACCCAAAGCGCTTTAAAATCATATCAGGGAATCTCTCCTCAACCACCACAAATGTGCAGCATCCACTTGGATGATGCGATGGCAGCCACAGTACAATGGTGCCACTGTGCTTACCACACACCAGCTATAGGTGGAGAGGATAAAGAGTGATAGAGCTAATTCAATGGATGGGGATTATTAGGAGGCCATGATTGATAAGGGCCAATGGATGGAAATTGGCCAGGACACTGGGGTTACACCCATACTCTTTTACGAGAAGTGCCATGGGATTTTTAATGACCACAGTAGTCAGGACCTCGGTTTAATATCTCATACAATGCACATGTGCTTGTTACAGTATAGCATCCCTTTACTATGCATAAGGACCCACACAGACCGATATGAACCCCCTGCTGGCCTCACTAACACCTCTTACAGCAGCAACCTAGTTTTCCCAGGAGGACTCCCATCCAGGTATTAACCAGGCTTAACCCTGCTTAGCTTCACTGGGGCAACCAGTATTGGGCTACTAGGTGATATGGCTGTGGTACAAGTGTGATGTTTTCAGTTCTGTTTTGCCTGCCTTGCTTGATAAGATTTACTCTAGTTTTACCTATGTCTCCATGTACCTACCTTAAAGGGTTAGTTCACCAAAAAAATGAAAATGATGTCATTAATGACCCACCCTCATGCCGTTCCAAGCCCATAAGACCTCCGTTCATCTTCGGAACACAGTTTAAGATATTTTAGATTTAGTCCGAGAGTTTTCTGTCCCTCCATTGAAAATGTATACACGGTATACTGTCCTTGTCCAGAAAGGAAATAGAGACATCATCAAAGTAGTCCATGTGACATCAGTGGGTTAGTTCAAATTTTTTGAAGCATCGAAAATACATTTTGGTCCAAAAATAACAAAAACTACGACTTTATTCAGCATTGTATTCTCTTCCGATTCTGTTGTCAAGCCGCTACAGCGATCTGTGACCACATAATAAAGAGTCACAAAACGGTATTCATTGTTTGAATTTCTTAAAAGTGACAAAACTTGAAAGCTGAGACTTTGTTTATATCAAAAGTAACCTGCTCTGTCCTGTTTGTCGGTGCGTTGTCAGTGTCCTCTTTGCTCCAAGGTGTGTTTTCCACTGCGTGAGAACATGATGTGTGGCGTGAGAGCGCCATGGCTTGTCGGACGTAGCAACAGTAACTAAGGGGGGTAGGTCTTTGCAAAGGGTCAATTTAGGATCCAGCAACATTAGCCCATCATTGTTCCCACAACGACTGACCGCAAACAATGGCGCACAATGCAAAGTTTTCGTTACTCTCCCTTAAGCATGATAGTTCACTCAAGGTATTTTATCATGTTGGACTTTCGGAACCATTGTAATCACAGCTTGCCATAAACTGTCCTCCAAATCGATGAAGAGAGGTGTGACTTGCGCTCTCTTTTGCACATTAAAGGCCACCCTTGCTGCAGTATTCTGGATCAGTTGCAGAGGTTTGACAGTGCATGCTGGAAGGTCTGTCAAGAGAGCATTACAATAGTCGAGTCTAGATAGAACAAGAGAGTTGTCTAGCATGCTCTGAAAGGAAGGGCCTGATCTTCCTACTATTGTATAAGGCAAATCTACAGGACTGGGCAGTTCTAAGTGGTCTGTGAAGTTTAACTGAGAATCAATCACAACTCCAAGGTTCCTGGCTGTCCTGGATGGATTTGTGGTTAACGAACCTAGCTGAATGGCGAAGTTGTGATTAAGTGTTAAGTTGGCCGAGACCACAAGCAGTTCTGCCTTTGCAAGGTTGAGTTGAAGGAGGTGGTCCCTCATCCAGCTAAAAATGTCTGTCAGGCAGGCTGAGATGCGAGCAGCTACCGTCGGATCATCTAGCTGAAATGAGAGGTAGAGTTGTGCGTCATCAGCATAGCAGTGATAAGAAAAATCATGTTTCTGAAAAACAGATCCTGGTAATGAGATGTAAATGGGGAAGAGAAGTGGTTCAAGCACTGAGCCCAGAGGCCTCAATCCTCCATGACACCCTGAAGGACCTACCTGAGAGGTAAGACTTGAACCATTGGAGTGCGGTTCCTGGGATGCCCTTCATCATGAGGGTTGACAAGGATGATCTGGTGGTTAACTGTCAAAAGCAGCAGCATCCAGCAAGATCAGAACTGATGATATGGAAGTTGCTCTTGCCAGTCTCAGAGGCAGTCTGCAGGGGAGTCTCAGTTTAGTGGCATGCTTTGAAACCAAAATGGTTGTTGTTGTTGTCCAGGAGGTTGTTCTGTGTAAGAAAGGTAGAGACTTGTTTGAACACGACTCATTCAAGTGTCTTAGCAATGAATGGAAGAAGGGATACTGATCTGTTGTTTTATACAAGTGCTGGATAGGATCAAGTGGACAGGTAGTAGGGTGATTGTAAAGGATGAGTTTGGAGACTTCTGCCTCTGAGTTTGAAGAGAAGGAGGGGAGAATGTGTGTGTTTGCTGTTAAGATGTGTGTATCAGTTTGTGGTATGGAAAATTGGTGGCTGATGGTTGTTTTATTTATGAATAATGTGGTCAGCTGTTAGGGTTGATGAAGGAGGGAGAGGAAGAGGACTAAGAAGAGAGGAAAAGGTTTTGAAAAGCATATGAGTGTAAGAAGAATTGTTAATTTTGCTGTGGTAGTAGCAGTAGTTTTAGCAGTGGAGACATTTGCAGAGAAGGAAGAAAAGAGTGATTGATACAAACCAAGGTCACTAGGATTCTTCGATTTGCGCCACTTACTCTCTGCAGCCCTGAGTTTAGAACTTTGCTCATTGAGAACATCAGATTAGCCAGGAAGCAGAGGGGGTGGCGTGCTGGCGGGCTGGCCTAGATGAAAGGAGTTTTCTAAAAAGATATTAAAGTAGAGAAAATAGCACCAGAAGCACTGATGAGAACTGATTAGGGGGAGGAAGTGTGGATGAAACCAAAGAGGATATAGGGGAGGGTGAGAGTGAGTGTAAGTTACACCAAATGTCAGGAGCCAGGTTGAGGTTAAGAGTGAGGAAGTGATCTGAGGTGTGCAGTGGAGTAACCATCGAATTATCAGTGGAGCAGTAGCATGTGTAAAAAAGGTCCAAATGGTTACCTGATCTGTGAGTAGCCAAAATACACAGTTGAGGTCATATGAGGCAAGCAGAGTGTGGAAGTCAGCAGCCTGAGGTTTTTCTATGTGGATGTTGAAGTAGTCTCCAAGTACTACCAAGAGGAGTACCATCCTCAGGCAAGGATGAGAGTAACATATCCAACTCCTCCAAGAAATTACCTAGCTGACTTTTTTATTCCTATTTTTCTGGTATTCACTTCCTGTGTTTAGTTTGTTTCCATAGTTGCCCTCGTAAGTTTCCATAGCAATTCATTACCCTCACCTGTCCCTTGTTAACCCCAGGTTATCCTGTGTATTTATACCCTAGTGTTTATACCCCAAGCGCCTTGCTCCATGTATGGACTTACTCTGTTTGTGCCTGGATTTACTTTTGTTATGTTTGATCATTAAAGGTGCTCTATGTAACTTTTCTACTAAAATGAATCCTTTTTTTATTGCCTGTGTGTGAAGGGGTTGTAATCACACATTAAAATGATCCACTTGTCGAGTTTTGCTATTACCTCTGAAGGCCAGTATTCCTATTTCTATGTGAAGTCTCCGGGTCGGATTTACCGCGAAATCCAACGGATGTGACGTGCATGCGCGCTCCCGAGCCTCTCTCCTTATATACAGTCTATTGTAGACGGTCAGGGAGTTACGTCCGGTTAAAGGCGCACGTTTTTCGGCTTATATCTCAGTCAATCTTTGATCAATATTCCCAAGACTCTAATCGTTCGTAGTGCTGGACAGGGCCTTTCGAACGAGCCCACCCCCGAGGTCCAACTCGCCCGGCTCCCCGAGTTATAGCCGTTTGAAATCGAGGGTCCCAGCGAACGGCGATCCGGTAGGGGGCATCCCCGAGGCCCGCCACTCTAGCGTTCGGGCAAGGGTTCCCCTGGGACCTCCTCCCCCGAATTTGAGCTCTCTGGGTCTTTGCGTTCCAGAGATACGAGCGATTTTCTTCTGAGATCGTGACGTCACCGGCGTCCGCAATTTTGCAGCGCGCCCGATGGTTTTCTGCTAATATCTCCGCGAAAACACCACCAAAAACTATGGAACTTATATGGTTCTTTTCAGCTCGACTAGGTTGTCCCAACGAGCTCGGTGCTCGCCGAATCCGTCAAGTATTCGCCGAGATATTTGCGTAATAGACGGTATTGTCTATGAGTTCGAGCACGAGCGCTCTTGTAAAATTTGGTTGCAATCTGAAACATCACCACTAGAGGCCGCTAAAAGTTACGTAGAGCACCTTTAATGTATATTTGTTGCAATTGTATAGGCTTATTGCAATTGTATAGGCTTATTGCAACGTAGTCCACTGAGGTAAGTTGTAGTTGAGAACCCAAGTGCAGTTTACGTACAGTGTCCAAAGATCCAAAAGATTAACCATAAACAAAATCCAAAACATGAAACAAACCATGAAAAAAAAAAAAACTGTTACAGTTACTGAGAAAAATCTGTAATTAAATTACAGTTACTTAGAAAAATGTTTACGATTACAAAGGGAGTTACATCTGAATGTTTTCTGTAAAAAGCTATAAGGTGAATAATATTAATGTGTTGCTTTGCCTCTTTTTGATGTGCACTATGCCTCCTGCCATTTAACGCAGTTTAGTAAAACAATGCTATTCTGATGCTTTTGATTGGCTCTCTTGTTTGAATTTGAGTTTGAATTTTTTTTTAAAGATTAACTGTTTTCTTTCAGGCATTGTTTAGATGCAAGTGTTTCCTGTCATAGATATGCAAAGATATGATTTCAAAGACAGTATCATTTCTATTTAGTTATGATTTGAAATCTGTAACCTCAGAATGATTTCAAAGTAAAAAGAGGTGCTAGAGTTTGATTTTGTGGTGGCTGTGGTTTAAAATAAAATTATTATAATCTTAATTCAAGTGATGAAGGATTTTGAAAGTCTGACAGTAATCAGTGTTGAGTACTAATACAAGGTAACCCCTGCCTTTAAATATTTTAAAATGATTAACAGTTGAAAAAATTTGTTAGAAATTTAGAAACGTACAGTATTGTGCGTTGATAAGATCAACAATAGATTATGGGTGCATAGTGTATAGATCTGCTTCAGCAACGCTATTAAAAAAGATAGACATTATTTAAAAGAAAAGTATTTTATAAAAGAAAGTAGTATTTTTTTTAACAATCATCTGACTATCCGCTAGAAGGCGCTAAACACAACACCAACTCACGTGGCAGCAGGAACGTCCAGTTGAACCGGAAGTAGAGTTTCTCACACACGTGAAGAGAAGACACAAGCAACAGAAAATGGATTCTACCGAATTAACAACTTCAGAAAGTGTTTCTAAGAAAAAGGGGAAAACGAAGAACCTAAAGCTAAAGCCGAAACCCGACAAAGCTCCAGTGGAGAAAATGGATCAGGTGGAGGGTGAAGTAACAGAGGAGAAACAAGTGTCAGGAGCGTGTTTTCCTCCCACATTCAGCATGTCTGATATCAAAAACAAGCAGCGCAGACATTCGATGTTCCTTAAACTCAAGGAGCAGAAAAGAAAGGTGACATCTCACAGACATACACTCTTATTGAATTGAACGCACAATTTGGCTGTGTTTCAAGCCCTAGAGAGCTGCCAGGACAGACAGCCATTTGGGCATCAAAAGCAAGAAGAGTCTAAGATGGCCAAAAAGACAAACGTGCCTTTTGGTGCCCTAAAAAGTATACAAGAATGATTCGTTTTCTTTAAAGAATAATTTAACTTAACCAAAACACCACTTTTACGTATGTTGCTCACTAAGGCCTGAAACACAGCCAGCTCTGGAACATGTCAAGAGTTTCCTATATTATATGTTAAAGCTATCATTTATGTCTTTCAGCAAAAGTTGGAACTGAAAAAGAAAAGGAAGAAAGAGAGAAAAGCTCTTGGTGATAAGGTATGTTGATGGACTGTATTTCACAGCATCTATCATCAGATAAGCTTTCTTAAATCTTGATGTTCACAGTCTGTCAACTACATTAAATGATCAAGTAAATCTCATTTCCTTGCAAAAATGGTTTCTTTGCACTTGGGGATGGGCAATTAAAGTCAAAAATTTGTAACAATGTTCTTATGGGCTACAACGAAATATATTACACTAACATTTTTAAAGAAAGTGATTTAAAAAAAAAACTTTTGAAACAATTATTTTATAATGGTCATGTAAAAATTTAATTATTTAATTTCTATTTTACCTTGGCATTATTTTTCATTGCATGCAGTGAGACTTTTTTTTATTCTTGCAAAATCGATGTAATTTGTGAGGTCAGATTAAGTTGACTTGCACGGAACCAGTTAATTTAGATGTTACCACATAATTTAGGCTATCTGAAAAATGTTATGAAGAAAAAAAACTTTCACTGTTTCCTGTTATTATAATTCTTGTGTAGATGTATACCTCTTCTATGAATTAAATGTTTTATGAAATTATTTTAATTTCAAACCATACTTTAAAAGCTAATATTTAAATATTAATATGATAATTTAGTTGGTGGTATGGGCAAAACAATTCAATAGTGAATGGAAAACAATCATTCTTAATGGTTAATGCCTACATTGCTTAATACTTTCTGAGATACTTAATATTCTCATTTCTCATATGAATAACCACACAATAATGATTCTGTGAGTTTATTCAATATTCGTCAGACTGATTCAAACAGTAACTTTTTAAGTTGTTTTGAAAGATTTATTAAAGGAACCGGTTGATTCTTGCTTGGCTTTTTTTTTAAATCTCATTTCTATCAATATATTATATTTAACAGGTATATTGCTCACATCAAATGCATTACATTTGCAGTTAATATGTGGCGAAAAAATAATGTTTTTTGCAAGTCATTGTCAGAAAATTCCATTTGTTTTTTTAAGTTTTCTTTATTGGTGTTTGCATGAATTTTCTCATTTCAGGCTCCACCTAAAGAAGTTCCCAAAACAATAGAAAACCAGAGAATATATGATGAAACTACAGTCAACCCAGAGGATGAGGAGGTGATTTGTGATCCTTATTCCACCTACTGTCTTCTTCTGTAGACATCATTTAAACATTTTGAAAGTAACTTTTTAAATTTTGTTAAATCCAGGTGGCTTTTGATGAAGGAACTGATGAGTTTGCTGCTTACTTCAATCGGCTGACAAATCCCAAAGTTCTCATCACCACTTCAGATAGGCCCAGAGGAGTGAGTTCAACTTTCTGTATACTGTACTGTTTTCTAATTCACTCAAGTTGTAAATAACTATTTAAGAATAGTAATGTCCTTCAAACGTTTTGTTCTAATGTGTTTGTCTGCCTGATTCAGAGGACAGTGAGGTTTTGTGATCATCTGGCAACAGTAATCCCACATGCACATGTCTACTACAGAAGAGGTCTGGCATTGAAGAGAGTCATTCCACAGTGTGTATCTAGAGGTTTCACTTATCTGATAGTGATCAATGAGGACAGAAAGGTTCCAAGTATCCTTTGTTCAGACTTCTTTATATGACCACTTCTTAGATCTGTGAGATTTTGTTGTATTGTCTGCTTAATGAGGTAATGAGAAACGCTCGCTGAATTCTACACAAGGATTTTCCCTTACTTAAAGTTTCACAGACGGTTTGGTTCTCTGTCACCTTCCTGACGGGCCAACTGCACATTTCAAACTCAGTAGTGTTCGTCTTCGCAAGGAAATGAAGGTGAATGATTTTTTTTTTTTAGGGCCCGAGCACCGATGGTGTGAGGACCCTCTTGGAATTATGTTTATTACTTAATTGTAATTCTAAGAAATTTAATAGTCACACAAGGAATTTTGCTGGTCCATTTTTTTTTACGATGCAACATAATTCCACTAATATGTATAGAGTGTTGTAGGGATGACTTTTCCCAAATTTCCCCAAAATTTGTTTCTGGTAATAGTTAATGTGTTGTGTGTATAATATGATTTTGTGTGTAATTAATACAAAAATATTAAATGTCCTATTTGCTAAATCAATTCAAATTCAGGAAATGAGTTAGTTTAATATGGATTTTTGTCAGTTCTGAAAGGCGCACAGCCCAGTCCTTAACCTTTTCTGTTTTTCCTCACTAGAGAAAAGGTAAGAGCCCAACAGAACACGTCCCAGAAGTCATCCTAAACAACTTTTCTACTAGACTCGGTCACTCCATCGGCCGGCTGTTTGCTGCTCTATTTCCTCATGATCCACAGTTTGTTGGCCGTCAGGTCGCCACATTTCACAATCAGAGAGACTTCATCTTTTTCAGGTTTCACAGGTAAATGTTCTCTCATTTGAATAGTTTGAAGGTAAATTAAAATGATGCTGTGTAATCCATAAAGCTTACAGTCATGGCCAAAAGTATTATATATAAATGTTACAACATAACTGTTGTGTTTTTCACAAGTTTGCAGCTGCGGTTGTTGTTGATGCACATTGTTTCTAGATTGTTGTGCTGAGTGATCAGAGGCATTTTAAATGATTGCAAAAAGCTTTATTGGCCAAAAAAAATAAATGATCACAAAAACCCAAATTGTTGGCCCTGGCCCAAAATTACCAGCTAACATCATTTCACTAATCGCATCATCAGCACATGGGAAAATGTGGACAAGTATTTCTCCCGTAAAAACATCATTCTGATTGGAGTATAAGAGCAGACTGATTGCTATAAAAGGAGAGAAGAAATGCTTCCAGTCGTTGAGTTCTTGTTAGCAATGGTTACCTCCAAAGAAAGACGTGCAGCTATCGAGTGCTTCTCGAACTGCCTAGTAAGGCTGTATATCTCGGCTGCCACGTCATCAAGCTCCAGACGTCTCGATTTAAAGGATTTTTTGAAAGCAGCCTTAATTTTGCATCTTTCATTCGGCCTGTTTTGAAGTATGTTTCAAGTGTATTTGGGCTGCATGATTAATTGCAATTAACATGAAATCGCGCTTAAACCAATTTGGCTTATTGCGATTTATGAAATCGCGAAGGCTGCAATTAATATTTTTATGCGCAGCTTGTCAGTGAAGAGCGACTCTGTGATCCGTATTAAACGCTGCTCCATCTGAAAGCACTGCGAGTTTTGAGATGCTTATAACGTGCTTTGAAAAGGCAACACGTTTCAAACATCTTTTCGAACATGAGAAGCATTTATGAACCTCTTGTCCAACAAGTGTCAACATTTAATAACATGGTTTTACTCCAAACTCACTTCATAACGACAGTTGAGCATCCTTCGGTGAGATGATGTTGCTTCTTTCACAGAATTAGGCAGTCGTGTATTTATTAGTCATGTTTAATCCATCAAAGTGACTCAATCTTTTGTTTATTGAGCTACAGCTATGATGCCCATTCTGCGGGGCATATTTGGAGTGTTCGCATGAGAGCGCCCTCTGGCTTTCAGATGGAGCAGCATTTACTACCGATCAGCCACACCGCACTGACAAACGTGGGGTTTCATTACGATTAATCGTGCAGCCCTAAAGTGTAGAGGTGGGCGATATGGCAAAAATATCATATCACGAGTTTTTTTCAGGAAAATCACGATTTTATCACGATTCTTTTTCATGTTGGTTTTACTATTTTGCAAGTGACTGAGCATTACAGCCAAACTAATGTCCCTATTTTAAAAACAAAGCCTTTAAGGGACAATGTGTACTAGGGCTGCACGATTTGGGCCAAAATGATAATCACGATTATTTTGATCAATATTGAGATCACGATTAATTATCACGATTATTTGTTCTTTTTAACCAAAACAAATTTTATTGTCACATAGGCTAATTATAACTGCTATCACATCCATATTGTGCTACATTCCTGCTAATGTACAACTATGTGCATCAAAATAAAACAGGTCCTCTTATTCACCAAAATTCAGTGCATCTCCTTAAAGAATAAATAAAAATAAAGAAAACAATAAAGAAAATGTAGCAAAACTTCAACAGGGCACTATTTTACATTGTGTAAATATATTTTAGGAAGCAAAAATATAAACTTGCATTGTACCTGCATAATGGATGTGAATAAAATGCGCAAAATATACAATCAATAAAAAACAAATATTCCATAACAGAATGTAACCAAATGAGAACATTTCAAGGCAGAACTATGCACTATGGAAGTGTGATTAATGGATAAAATTCAGAGTCATTGTTATTTGACGCTTAAGAAATGTAAAATGTTGTGGTACGGTGTCAGTGATTAGTTGTGAAATCTTACTGCATAAATTGAATATTTAATTCTCCATATGAAAGTTTATGTGCACTCGAATTATTTCTATTTATTAAACAATAGTTCAAAATAAGACGTTTGTAGATTATTGGAGTCCACTAATCGAACTTTCATGCCTCTTATATAGTAATTATATATTACTAATATGTAGTATGTACCAATTAGGGATGCAGCGATTACCGGATTTCACAATTAACCGCGCTTTAAAACGTCACGGTTAATTAATCGTAAAGACTATGCTACACCGAGTGTTCTGCAAAGTACGGAACTTTTGCACCTAACACAAAACGAAAACAAAGTTACACCAGCGGTGCACCAGCTTAAAGTGCCGTGCTCGTCAACCACTATGGCAGAGGGACTAAGCAGCGACGCTCGATTTCCACCGAAAAAACACCTTAAGTGCGTGTTCACATATCGCGTCTTTTGCGCGCTCAAGTTCGTTATTTAAAATGTATGCGCGCTCATAATGGAAGCGACGCGGCCGTTTTTTCCAAGCGCGTCCGCGCCGCATCGAGATAAAAACATCTCTACTTTTCAGAATGCCGCAAGCGCACCGTTGGAACGCGGCGTGCAACTTTCAGCTTTCAGTGCAACGTAAAAATAAAACAATAACAAAAAAACAGCGGAATATTTTGGTTACGCAAGTCTGTGGAAAACCGAATGTGACGTGCTCTCAAGAGTTTCAGTGAACATTTAACTTAATATCCTGCTTTCTCTCATGTCTGTGTTGAGTAAATGTTAGGCTTTGTAGTTTTAATATGCCCGGTGTAAAACACTAACATAAGATCATGTAGACTTCTAGGACTACCAATTAACTGCATTTCAGTTATTAATAACACTGCATGAGAGATGTTCTCAGTTTCTTTCTATAATTTTTACTTTAACTTCAAACAAACAAACCAAAATAATGAGATGATAATAGATGATTTTCTAAAGGCACATGTAAAATTTGGATTAATAATTTAAAAAGGAGAATTAAAATAAGTACAATAATATTGGTGGATAACATTTGGACTATATTTTTTTTCTTTTAAAAGAAATACATAGGCCTAATATTTAGCTTGCATTTAATTCAATAGAGCCAGCCAAATACTTTGTTTATTCTTATTTTCATTGGGATTTATTATCCCTTTATTTATGTTTTTAAGTCAAATACCAACAAGATATTGTTTTCATGTTATCAAGTTTTCTCCCTCAGGTTGAAAATAAATTTAGAACAAACTAAAAACTTAATAATTTTGTGATCTATTTCAATCAAAGAGTCTTGCAGCCTTTGAATTAATTTGTTATTTTTAAAAGAAAAATGCTGGATGTTTACAAAGCACTTCTCTTTAATTCCAAAGGAAGAGATTGATTATTGTTTGCCATTTTATAATTTTGTACTGTGTTGTGGCAGCAATAAATAACACATTAAAATCTAGTGCTGAGTGTTCATGTGATATTATACATTAGTAGTGTTGTGAAATTAATTGATGCATAATAATCGTGATAATCGTTAAACCGTGATTATTTCTCAGACAATAATCGTACTTAGAAAATCTGTAATCGTTGCATCCCTAGTACCAATTTACTAATGCAATTTACTAAAGCTCACACTCGGTCTCTCACGTGCACTGTCACTCGGTCTCTCGCGCGCAGACAATCGGTATCTCACGCGCGCTGTCGCTCGCACGCAGACACACTCGGTAGGTATCTCTCGCACGCAGACACACTCGGTAGGTATCTCTCGCACGCAGACACACTCGGTAGGTATCTCTCGCACGCATCTCTCGCACGCAGACACACTCGGTAGGGGTGGGAATCTCTAGGCACCTCACGATTCGATTCGATTACGATTCAGAGGGCTGCGATTCGATGCTAAAGCGATTATCGATTATCTGAATCTTTTTTTTTGTGTGTGTGACTATAAATAACTACTTTTTTTTTCATTTTAAAGTACCAAGTAATGACCCCTTAAAGAATTATGATATATAATACGTACAATATATTTTATTAACATTGCAAAGAATCAACAGGAAACTAAATGTGTGCCTGAACTAGCAGCATACTTGTAGTAAATGAATAATATAACAACGACTGGTAACGTTACAGCCGAGTGTTTTTCCTCCTCTGTGTGGAAACGTGTCATATGGCTTCTCATATTTGTCGTGTTTCCGAAATATTTTAGTTTTATTCTACAAAGCTTACAAATAGTGTGGCTCTTGTCCAGCTCCTTTCCCCCTTCAACTTCATAAGCCAAAATATTTCCACACGTCAGCTTTTAACGAGGAGGGTGTTTGGATTTCACGCTCAGCCATCGCGTCTCTGTTATGTGCACGCCACACACGGTCCGGGCACTGCACTTCCGCGCTTCAGAGTTCCGTCTTTTGCGTTCCGTCAATATTACGTTATTATAAATTAGATTTTTTCCCCCACCCCTAGTGGGAAGCCGAAATCGTGATCGTGATTAAAATTCGATTAATCGTGCAGCCCTAATGTGTACTTTTTTAGGTATTTTATTATCTAAAATCAATATTTTTATTCATAAATATGTCGTCAATGGTGTACAAATACCTCTGCCAATTATCTGACTTATCCTCGTAAAGCGAAGAATTTATTATCTTTATATGCATGGGACGGGTAGGTCCACGGAGGCTTCCATGTAGTTCCGCCATCTTGAAAAATTATAATAGCAGAGAGGGACAAAAAGTACTAGGCCAAAAAGTCTCTTTCGGAGCCAGTAACTGAAAACAGCAGAAACGGAGGAGCAGAGCAGTGAGAGGCGCTTGTCACTGCCCTGGCAAGTTTCACAGTCGTTTGTTCGTTGTGTCAAGTTGCAGTTTGTTTGAAATAACAAACCTGTTCACCCGAAGGAACACTCGACAAAGTGCTATTAGAAGACATCCTGTCATAGCTTTTTGGTACATAACGGTTACCGTAGATACAACACGCATTTGAAAAAGCGAGGCGCTGGAGAGCACAATTCGTTTGAATGCAAAATACAATTTCACTGCTAGATGGGAGAAATTCCTACATATTGTCCCTTTAAAGGTAACAAAATATAAAATAAAAAAGAATGGCAGACATTTAGGCCAAAGTGGCGAAGATAAAAATCTTTGTCATTATTTTCTTTGTTATTCAGAATTAAAAATTAAGAACAAAGATGCACATTACACAACTTAATATACAAATGAAATAAATGGTGCTTTATTTTTTCAGCTACAGTAGGTGTATTTAACAGTAGCATTAAAAAGTAGCAATAAAGTAATTAGGCTAAATGAACAAATATGAAAATAAAACACAACATAGACTTCACTGCATAAATTATACATTGATTCTTATTAAAGCTACTATTAAAGTTCTCAGTCAAGAGCAGTGAGTGATTTCCTCTTTGTGTTTTGTTGTTTTTATTAACATTAAAGGGATAGTTCTCCCAAAACATTTAATTGTCATTTACTCTTTCAAGTTGTTTTAAACCCGAATAGATTTCTTTTTTCTGTTGAAAATAAAAGTTATTTGGAGGAATGTGGGTAACCAAACAGTTGATGTACCCCAGTGACTTCCATAGTATATTTTTTTCCTACTATGGAAGTCAAAGGGGACTAGAAACTGTTTGGTTACCCACATTCTTCAAAATATCATCTTTTGTGTTCAGCACAAGAAAGAAATTAATACAGGTTTGGAACAACATTGGAGCGAGTAAATAATGACAGAATTTTATTTTTGGGTGAACTATCTCTTTAAGGACAAGCGGCAGCATATTTACTATTAGGATACTGTCTCTTTAAGAGCTGCACACGATGCGTCTAATATACATGAATTTGAAAAGCAGATTTTCTCTCAATTTTCTCTGTTTGCTTTCACGTTAGACATAAGCAACTTTGTTTATGTAAACCTTGTGTGTATTTGACAGTATTAGCGCAATAAGACTCGAAAGATAACTTAGTCCAGTAAACAGACGCTGTTAGACAGGCTTTTAGTGTCTAACAGCAACTGATAGATTGCACGATACTATGATATTTCTTCAAAAGCAGATCGTGGAGACATTTTAATCGTCCACGATCAAAAACCGTGATATCGCACACCCCTACTAAAGTGTATCCTTCCCCGCAAAGCTTTGTACACATTATAATTCACAGAAAGAAATAGCAGAAAATAAATCAGCACTGAGCTTATCCGTAATTTTAATGTTATTTTCCAGTCGTTACCGCGGGGACGGATACATCTATGATGTAGTCATGCATGCTTACTAGACAGTCTTATTCTAGTCTTCAATGCGATGAAGGAAAAAAATCCTTCGAAGGACTGGACTAGGAAGTACACAGCCTCACTAGGAGAGAGGTTCAACTGCAGTGAAGGTGGCTTCAGGATGTCCCAGAGTGTCCAGCAAGCGCCAGGACCATCATCATCATATGATCACGAAATCATGTCGACACCAGTGCAGAGCTTGCTCAATAGTGGCAGCAGGAGTGCATCTGCATGCACAGTGAGGCAAAGACTTTTGGACAATGGCCTGGAGTAAAGTAGGGCAGCAAAGAAGCCACTTCTCTCCAAGCAAAACATCAAGCACAGACCGAAATTATACAGGAAGTACAAGGATTGTACAGTTGAAGTGAAGACTGGTGCAAGGTTATTTTCTCTGCTGAAGACCCCTTCCGACTGTTTGGGACATTTGGAAAATCGATTGTCCGGAGAAGAAAAGATGAACACCACCATGCATCCTGTGTCGTGCCAACAGTGAAGCATCCTGAGACCATCCATGTGTGGGTTTGCTTATCCAAGGGAGTGGGCTCTAACAATTCTGCCCAAAACACTGCCATGAATAAAGAATGGTATCAAAACATTCTGAAAGAGCAATTTCTCCCTACAATCCATGAGCAATTTGGTGGTGATCTGTGCATTTTCCAGCATGATGGAGCACCATGTCACAGGACAAGAATGACAATGAAAAGGCTCGGAGATCATCGCCGAATCTTAATCGCATAGAGAACCTGTGGTCAATCCACAAAAGGTGAGTGGGCATGCAGAAGCCCACAAATTGTGATCAACTTTGAGCACTATTAAGGCAAGAATGGATCGCCGGCAGTCTGGATTTGGCCCACAAGCTGATATTCAGCATGTCAATTGCAGAGCTTATAAAGAAGGGTCAACATTGTAAATATTGCATAAATTGAATGTTTTTGCCAATAAAAATCTGTAAAACTTATGAAATGCTTATTATTGTTTTCCAGTATACCATAGCACGTGAAAAAAAAATCTACAAATACGTTTGGCCATGGCTGTATATACAAAGTCTAATATTTTCCATTTAGTTCAGTGAAAAATACTCTCAACCAAGGTTTGATAGTGGGATCAAATGTGTTTCAAATACAAAGTTGATCTACAGAATAGAGATGAATACATTGTAGTAAAAATAGAGACTGTCAGAATATATAGACTGCTATTTAGAGTGCTTATATTTTACTTTCATTCATTAACTGGTTAAAAAATATTTTCTACACGATTTAATAAACTCATGTGTATCATTCAGGTACATCTTCAAGAATGAAAAAAGAGTGGGCATACAAGAACTAGGACCTCGCTTCACTCTTAAACTTCGCTCCTTACAGAAAGGAACCTTTGATTCAAAGTTCGGGGAATATGAATGGGTTCACAAAGTAAGTTCAAAATCTAACATCGCATTTAAACAACCTTCTTAATAAATGAGGTGTAATTTGTCCATTGTTTGTGTCTGTCATGCAGTATTAACTCTTTCTTACTATGTTTCAGCGCCATGAAATGGACTCCTGCAGAAGAAAATTCCATCTTTGAGGGACAGACTAAACGCAGGATAACCGTGTTGACGTTTCATAAATATCTATAAAAAAACACCCTTACATTATGAAACGAAATATAAAGTGTTATAGAAACAAGCTGTGTATTTTCTGTATTATATTGACTTTCTTTCCAGCCAGGTTATAATATTCTAATGCAAAAAATAAAGATACTTGATTTGTCTCGAGGCATGACAAATTAAGGCCTGTTTAAATACTCGAGTAAATACTTCCTTTACTCAAATATATAAAAAGGTGGGTTATAAAGACAGGTGATTTGTGGTGTTTATGTGAAATTTCAGGTAATTAAGACTGTTACCTTGCTCTGTCTTAATTTTGCAAAACTTAACTTGGCATATACACAATACTTTCAGATATGATCAAATTAACTTTGACAATTTTAAAACTAAGCTGTCATTGTAGACTTCTCAATTTTAAATAAAGAAATGGTTTCTTACAGTGGTCACTGAGTTTTCAAGGTTTTGCACCTTTTAATTATTTTTTTTACTTATAAAGATTGATTGGATGCAAGTCTTCAGAGACAGAGTTGTTGAGCGATTTGGTGTTATAGTTATAAAGTTATGTAAATTTAAAAAAAATTAAGTGCTGTACACTTGCCGGTTTTGAAAACGTGTTTTTTTATTTATGCCACAAGTAATCTTAACATTTTATTTTGCTAAGTGTATTTATTCATTTATTCATTAGTTCAAGTAGTGTACTTGAATATTTTCTTATACTTATTAAATAAGTGTAATATCATGCATGTACACAAACCAAAAAAGAAATCATATTATACACACAAAAGTTCAAATCAAACATACAGCACACATAAAGCAAACATAGACCTAGATTCACAGATCTACATAAGAATAACAAATATAAAGATATGGAAAGTGTATGAGTGTGAATGAACAAATCTGGGGCCTGTTGTATAAACTGCTAAGAATAGTCTCACAGGTTAGTCATCAATTGCTTTCTTTAAAAATATTCATAACTGTTAAGTTAGTAACAAAAAATAAAACGTAGATTGGTCTAATTTGATACCGGAAAGTAAGATTGATTTTCCCCAGCTACCTGCTAGTTGGTCATACTACTTCTTAAAACAGTCTTAACATAATGCCTGTTTATGCATAATGGGATACTGTCATGAACAATGGGCCAGATATACGTCTTTATTTTTATTTTTCCCCTCCCATTTTTAAGCAATTAGCATTTCAGGGCACTTATACCAATATTTTTCACATCTAGTATCTAGAAAAAAACTGTTCCCTATCTTGGTAAATAGACCAATCATACCAATACATTCTGGCAGTCACTTGTCGCCAACTAGTGGCGTAAAAGTGCAGACTGACAGTCTGTCTGGAAAGACTGCAAACACAAGAGTGATATAAGAGCAAAATAAAGTTCTGTATACTAATTAATAATAAAATAATATAAAACGGTTTAATTTACTATCATTATTATTTTGTTTTTCGGATGGATATAATATGGGCTATAACAGTGTTACTAAGTAGCGTTCACACGATGTCCTGTACACTGAAGCTCTGGGGGGTTTATGAGTGTTACGTTCACCCTGGTACCTGGTACTCAAGATACCGTTACTTAGCACTTCACACACACACACGCTGTACACTCTTAAAGAAATCATCATGAGATAAATAAATGTGACTATGAGCGGGTTTACTGGCAAGCGGACTGAAATCACAGAGGTATGTTCTATTAATAACACTGGATTAGACTGTATGATTTATGTCATTTCAGCAACTAATTCCACTTGCATGTAGTGTGTGATTTTTTTATTTTTGTTTTATTTCTAATGAAGCGTGTGGAGCTGCATGTGTTTTTTGTACCCGATGATCAGTTTGATCGGAGGTTGAATAAAGTTTCTGCTGAAGCTGTGGACACTTTCATCTCAGCTGGATTTATCAGGTCAGTTACTTTGTCTACTGGGAGTCTGCGGCTATAGGTGTCACCTTGTACATTTGTGAATATTTTATTTCTATATTATAATAATTATGTGTTATTTTTCTTGACTACAAATAAACTCTTGTCATTAAACAGCAAAAATGTAAAAGGCAACATACCAAATCATTGTTTTAAACAGCAGAAAATTGTAAGAATAACATAAGTCATATTTGTGACAAACTTGACCTGATACTTATGAAAAATACCCTTGTCTTTAGAACACAGTTCAGCTTCTGTTAAAATCTTCCACCATCATTTTGATTCTTGTCTGTAGCCTATTGTCTTGTATCTTAATTGCAGAACCAAATTCACAAATAGTCTAATTAAAGAAAGTGTTGAACTTGTGTTTGAAAGTAATGTAAAAAAAGAAAAAGAAAAATCACTCCTGAAAAAAACAAAACCCAAGAATTTGTGTAATTTTGACTAGATATTATACAGACATATCCTGATAGGCCTATATATGAAGAGTTCAGATGCAAAAGCCTCTAAATGCCATCTGAAATTTTCTTCTAAAATGATCATTTTTATCAAGCTCGTATATTTAAATTCAGTAATTTCACTTAAATGACAATTAATGGGTAATTTTTCTTGCCATTCAAGTGAAATTATTGAACTTAAATATACGAGCTTGATAAAAATGATCATTTTAGAAGAAAATTTCAGATGGCTTTTAGAGGCTTTTGCATCTGAACTCTTCATATACAGGTGAAACTCGAAAAATTATAATATCGTGCAAAAGTTCATTTATTTCAGTAATTCAACTTAAAAGGTTAAACTAATATATTATGTAGACTCATTACATGCAATGTGAGATATTTCAAGCCTTTATTTGTTATAATTTTGATGATTATGGCTTACAGCTATGAAAACCCCAAATTCAAAATTAGAATATTGTGAAAAGGTTTTCATAGCTGTAAGCCATAATCATAAAAATTATAACAAATGAAGGCTTGAAATATCTCACTTTGCATGTAATGAGTCTATATAATATATTAGTTTCACCTTTTAAGTTGAATTACTGAAATAAATGAACTTTTGCACGATATTATAATTTTTCGAGTTTCACCTATATATATATATATTGTGACAACTAAGCTCTAAACTATAGGTTAGAATTATTAAATATTTCCAAATAAATAGATTTTGATCCACAAATAAAGACAATGATAATTCTAACCCCATGCTGATTTCCCCTACTCAGTTTATTGTAAGTCTGTCTGATAAGTACTTTTTGTTTCAGAGTGGATTCAGATGTGAGTCTGTCTGATCTCAGATCTGATCTTGGATTATTTCTTGGGCTGGACAGGATCACAGAGAGATATGTTTTTTTAAAATGTGTTGGCAGAAGTTTGGCGCTGGTGAGCAGCAATCCTTTCCGTATTTTTTTATTTAGATGAAAGTAAGCTCAAATTACTGTAAGCATGTTAGAGTTATTTACAGTACACCACATTAAGCACAAAGTGTAATGATGATGATGATGGTGGTTAAAAGTTTGGGTAACACTTTACAATACGGGTGCACTAATAAGCATTAATTCATGCTTAACTAATGCACAGATAATACTGAATTAATGTGTAACTAATGATTATCTAAGCTATTCATTAATGATTACCACATTAGGAACTAATTAAGAGTCTGTATGGTTAATGTATTAATTGTTATTAATTAAATATGTAATTGTGAATGAATTCCCTAATAACTCATTTTTTTAACTAATAGTGTTAATTAATATGTTAATTACCAGAATAAACCAAAGCCTTGTATTTCAACTTCCAGATAATACAGGTACACTAATATGCATTAATACATGATTAATTACTTCATTGTTAGTGCAAATTCATGTGTAAATTACTACAATTACTAAATGACTAGTTAATAATGATGTGCCTCAACAAGTAAAGTCATAACATAATGATACCTTTGCAAATCATTAGCTAATGATTAATTAAAGCAGACAACTGGAAGTTGAAGTGCATAGCTTTGACTAATTGTGGTAATTAACACATTAATTTACACTATTAGTTAATAAAATAGGTTATTAAGGAATTAATACACAATGACACATTGAATTAATAGCAATTCATGTATTACTTAATCTATTAATCATATAGACTCTTTATTAGTTGCTGATGCAGTAATCATTAATTAATGGTTTAGTTCTTCATGAATCATACATTAACTCATGATTATCTATGCATTAGTTAAACATGAATTAATGCATATTAGTGCACCCGTATTGTAAAGTGTTACCACCTCAGCAATCTGTCCTAATGCAGGATGCAGAGGAGAACGCGAATGATGAAGATGCAGAATCCACTGACACTCCTCATCTAACATATCGTTCAGAAGATCAGATGGAACCTGTAAACAAACACCCCGGTATGAACACACTAAGAATATAAGCACAGGTGCACTATTGATAATTAACTACTAAGTTAATTTTTTTTTAAGAACAATAAGGGTGTTTACATGGCAACGATGTACTAAAAAACGGAAGAGTTTTTCCTTTGCATTTTTGAAAGTTAAAAACATTGTCAAAACGGTCCCCGTTCACACGGATCCAGAAAAATGACAAAAAATACTGTATTATGCATGCCAGGCCAGTAATGGTAAAGAAACACTATGCGCCTACAGACTGAACACATAATACACGTACATGACATCACAGTTTTCACAAATTTGCCTTTTTGTAGTTTCCACAGAGATGATAACGGTATTGTTGTAAAAGACTTGCACTTTGAAACCCGCACTTTGTGTTTTAAGGCCCCCAAAACGCCATTGCCATGTAAATGAACCGCAAAAATGTATTAAAAAATATTCTGTTTTAGTTCCATTTTGTAAAATGCACATATATTTATGCACTACTAAATATTTTTGGATTGCAGCATAAAACTTGAAACGCAACTCTATTTATAAACTAAATATTTACGGAAGTCGTATACCAGGAGTTAACTGTTTGAATAAAATAGCAGATTGATAGTAGATATTGAAGTTATTGTGGTAGTTACTCTATGGCCTGAGCTGAACTGGTGTGTCCAGTAAGGGAGAATAATAATAATTTAATAAAAATAATTTTCTTAATGTTCATTCATGTGTATAGTGCAAAGTTACGAATTGCCATAAGATTGTGACAAAACATTTTATATAATGTACACAATACTTACATTTTTACTTAAACATTATTGGGTACTTATGTCAGGTTATTTATTTCTGTTCAAGTAGAAATGGATACAACTGTGCAAAAGAAACATTTTTTTAAAAGAAACAACAGAAACTCTGGAGCTCCAGAGCCATTTGTGGATTCTCAAGGACTGGCAAGGTAACCTGATTCTTTTGGCTTCTGTCATTGTTAAATACTTTTAATAGTTAACTATTTATTGGTAATAAATATTAAAAGGATTAGCTCTATAATGGAATATTTAGTTGCCTTTACCCTATGTTATACATTTAGGAAAATGAATAGGTCTCTGACACTGAAATCAAGTGAAGAAAAAACAGATGATGTGGTAAGAGATATTTTCTCATATTACATTTGATAAAACCAATAGAGCATCGTTCAAGTCATTCAAGTTTTGTACAGAATGCAGTGTTGTAGTTTCAGAATTTCACCCAGACCACTATTCCTGTAGAGAGTTTCTGAAGGTTTAGTAAAGGTCTTCTAGACAAAACAGGAAGTAACGTACCCTCATTAAGACAACATGAGGTTTATTGGCTGAGTAAAATTCCTCACGCAGCTGGCGGTTGAACAGTGTGTTCTGGACATTGTTGTAAGAAGCTTTCAGTGTGGATTTTATGTGTTTTCACAGGTTCTTATGAGTAGACCAACCTCTCCACTCCCAGAGACCAGTTCTGCACTGTCTGTCTATTCCATGAAATTTTATACACAACAAACTACCACTTGTAAGACATGAGCAGTTACTAACAAATGGTGTCATTCTTGTTCTTGAATACCGTATTCAAAAATGTTATGCTTTCAGACAATGGGCTGATAAAGGAAATCAAGCTACTCAAAGAGCAAAGGAAGGAGCTTGAACAAACAAGGCAAGAACTTTTGAAAAAGGGCAGAGAGCTTTTAGCTTTTAACAGACATCGAAGGAACCAAGGTATAATGCCCTCTACAATTACACATGTACACTTCTCAACTATCATATGAAATGTTCAAGAACTGTATCTTTAACGTTGTCATTGTCTTTCTGCTTAGCTTCGGTTCACAGACAAATTGCTAATATTCTCCAGATAATTCTCTGACACATTCATAATTCTCTAAATTCACAGTTCTTTCAAAGATGAAAAGGCATCCAGGTCCTAATGCAGCAAAACATCCAATCTGATCTCATGAGAAAATGTAACTTTTATGAGGTGGCGATTTCATATGAATTTGTACTCTGAGATTCGTAACAGAACATACGATTTTTAGAAAGAAAAAAAAAGCGTGAAGGTACACCTCTAACCCCATCCCTAAAACTAACCGTCAGTGTGGTACAAAGGAGATTCATCAAGTATAAAATAGTTACAAATTGTCCTGGGATTGTTTTAAAACATCCCCAAGCTATCATACTACCATCAATGTTCTTGTCTGTTGCTGTAAAGTTCTTCTTATGAAATGTTTGTATATTTTTAGAGTGCAGACCTTTTTGATCTTTTTGATCTTGTGAAACTTGTTTGGCCTCAGCACCTGGAAAAGCATGATGACAACCTTTGATTGTGTCTTTCTTGGTTTCTGCCTTGCTACTCTGCCATTGATTTCAGTCATGTACTCTAACAATAATAATTAAATGGTCTTCTATGATTCTGAGAGGTTGACCACGGAAGGAGGAGATGAATCGATGATGCGATGGTGGGGGTGCTTTAAATATTGTTGTAAATAATGGACAGCCTTGAGAAAAACTACTGTTTTCTCAGAATCCTGAAGCCTGATTGGTTCACGTCTGCGCAACTTCAAAGACAAATGGCATTTCAGCCCACCAGAAAGGGGGGTTGACTGCCTATATTAGTCACACAGAAACGCCGTCAGTAGAATCCTTCGACAGAGGAGCGTCTAGCATGACTTGCTGGGCAGCGTAGTAGCGCGGCAACTTACGCAATGCTCATTCCCGCTATCTCAGGGAACCAGGGTTATGCGAGTAACCATAACATTCCCTTTCGATACGATTCACTCGGACTTATGGGGAACTTAATCCAATAGTGCCTGCCAGGGGGCATGCATGCCATCCAGCAGTTCCTGCAGGAATGCGAGAACTGACACTGACATCTCGCAATTAGTGGGGTCTAATTTCCGAGCTACGCACCAGCTTGAGAAAAAAGCCCATTTCTGGGCTTAAGGGCTCCCTCACCTCTGAGATCATTCTCATTACCCCTTAGCCTGACAGCTCCCATCAAGGGGCCATACATGCAGGTCTCATAACTCCAGCCGAGGCTGCCAAACTGTTCCCCCCGTTTGAGAGAGGTCATCTCTCCTCAGCGGTAAGGGCCATGGAGGTGCTGACAGCAACTGAATCAATTTTGGTAACCAAGGCTGGTTCTTGGCTTGGCATGGCCCTCAGCTGCAAAGCTGTCAGCGCTGTTGTTCCGCTGCGAGTTTCCACGGTGAGAAGAGCGGCTTCAGTCTTCATGTAGCATGTTCATGTAGCAGCGAGATGATCTTCGCACTGAAGGAGAAAGATTCTGACCAATTGCGTTTCTGTGTGACTAATATAGGAAGTGAACCCCGCCCTTTCTGGCGGGCTGAAATGCCATTTGTCTGTGACGTGAACCAATCAGGCTTCAGGATTCTGAGACAAGAGAGGTTTTCCCCACAAGCATCAGATAAAATCTGACACAATACGAGTGAACCGTATCGAAAGGGAACCACTCTTCCATATCCATCATGAAGGTGGGGGAAATTATATCTTGGTTACATTGTCATGATCATCACTAGCAGGCTTTTGAGCAATCTAAAAGCTTTGGAACAATCTACATTGTTAAAAGCGCTATATAAATGAAGATGACTTGAGCAGCAATAGATTTGGGCATTTTGTGGTATTATAATTGCACGTGTCAAAATTATGCAAGGAATATAATCTTGAACAACTAAAACTTTGAGTCTGAGAGCTGGACAGTCAATAACACTTTATTTTGATAGTCCACTTTAGACATTCTAACATACTAACTAGAAGTAACTTTGCAACTTCATGTCAACTACCGGTCAGAGTATTAGTTGACTGTCTGCTTAATATCTGCTAACAAATCATTTTATTGGTCCCCCGAACAGACATTCTACTAACTATAAGTATCTTTGCAAGTCAACTTTATTTTTCTCTAACCCTAACCTAACAGTCTAATAATACTAATGAGTTAGTTGACATGTGGTTGCAAAGTTCCTTGTACTAAAGGTCTAAAGTGGACTAACGAATAATGTGTAACTGGAAGGTTTACCGTTAAATTTTATTGCTGAATTTATACGAATAGAGTATACTGTATGTTATAAAAAAATATGGTTAACACTTTATTTTGATGGTCCCCTTTAGACATTCTGTTGACTATAAGAAACATTCCACCTACATGTCAACTAACTCTCATTATAGTCAGTAGAATGTTGGGGGACCATCAAAATAAAATATTAGCTGATTTTAAACAGACAGTCTACTAATACTCAACTAATAATCTTGAGAGTTAGTTAACATATAAGTGGTAATTTTCTTATAGTCAACAAAATGTCTAAAGGGAACCATCACAATAAAGTGTAACCAAAATGTGTTATATATTCAATGATCTTTCTGTCTTCATAAAGTATTTTAGGATTGCAGTCTCTCTTAAATCTGTCAGATTTCATGTTTGTGAAATGGGTGTTAAGTTAGGTTAGGGTGTATAAATGATTCTTTTTTGGGTAACGCTTCCTTTTACAGTCTTGTTACCCATGTACTTACTATGTACTTATAGTAATTATAATTACTGGGTAATAACTTGGTACTAACCCTGAACCTACCCCTAAACCTACCCCTAGCCCATGTACTTACCTTATATTAGCCAGTACTTTCTAGGTAAGTACACTGTAAGTACACGTAAGTACTGTACTGTAAAAGGAAGCGTTACCCTTTTTTGTTTGCCTCTAAAGCACGTGACAGGTGGAAGAGGCAATATTTTGACACTAAGAAGGCAACAACACTTCTGGAGGACACACTAAAGAGTGTACAACTGGAACTTCACACCTTCTACAGTAAAATGCTACAACAACTCCAAGCCAGAGATGGTGCAAAACGACGAATGCAAGCAAAGAAACAATCAAGCACACAGTTGAAGGTAGATTAAACATTTTCTTACTCTTATTTCAGTAAAATACTGACTAAATCATTCTTCATTTGTAAAACTCCTCAACAGGGAAGAAATTGTCAATTTCTTTCTTATTTTAACCCTCGATGGTGTATCGTCATTTATAAATGATGCAGAGAAAATAAATTGCATTTAAAATCCAGTAATATTTCACCAATGAAATTACATTTTAGTATTGTCATATGACATCCCCTTCAGCCAATAAAATTAAAATATTTGTGCCATGTGCTTGACATTTTTGGCAACAAGGAAGTGAAGGAGACATGTTAGGTGACATGCTGTCAAGGCTCCATTGTGAGTTCATTTTATTGGAAATACACATACATTTAAAAAAAAAAAAAAATGTTACATCCAAAATATGTTTTCTAAAGTGTTGGGAAATTTTGAATGCACATTTTGTAAAAAAAATACTTTTAGGGGATAAATATTTTCTGTGTAGCCGGCACCATTGTTCATTACTGGCAGGCATAATAGCCTTTTCGCCTTTGTTTTAGGTTGATGTTAGTAAGTTTTATAGAAGACAGAGAGGAAAAGCTGTTCCTTTTCCAGAAAGTATTGATGATATTGACGGCAGTGCATCAGAAAATATGGTCGTCGTAGATCAAGCAGGATAGAAGCAGTGAGAGTGATGGCAGAGATGAAGAATATACAGTAAGTCATAGATTATTGTGGAAGTCAGGGATTTCTGTACATTTTCCTATATGCCAGTTTGGAAGATGTGATCCATACTACAGGTCAAAATCGAGTTACGTGTGGAAAGTGTGGGCTACACTGAAAAAGAAGAGTCTTGTTGATTTTCATTTGCGCTATAATCATTGATTTGGAATTCCAAGAAAGAAACAATGTTAAAGATTTTTGAATGTGTTTTGAAACATTAAGACATGGTTTCACTACTTTCCAGGCAGTGAAGTTGCATTTAAATTTGTGTCAAGTTTTTGACATTTTCACATGCGAGTTCCAAATGAAATATAGTAGCACAAGATGAAATGGAATGTTAATAAAGCCATTTAATGTTTTTTGGGACACTAAGACCTTTTCACTACTTTTCAGATAGTGAAAATGCATTTGAATGTGTGACGTTTCAGACAATTTCCAAAAACATTTTACCCGGACAATGTCAGTTATTGATGTAGATTAATTGTAAATTAAATTAGCCTTAAATACTTGATATATATATATATATTAGCTGTGCTTTCATAATTAGTCCCATAGAGGGTTAATATTTTGATCAATTAAAGCAAAAATATTGTGCTTTGTATTTACAGAATGATCTGATAATCCAGATTATGACGGAGTGTAGTGAAATTGATAATCTGAGGAAACAAGTGGATGATGCTAAAATGAAACTGGCTACAGAGATCAAGGTACTAAACAGACATGTCCTGGTTAATTCTGTTGTTAGTTTCAGCACTTTATTTATTTATTTTTCTTTATTTGTCTAGTTGACCTTTGAATGACTGACTTATAATTAATTGCATGTTAAAATGGGTTTTAACATCCAAAAAAATGACATACTCCACCTTTAACATAACTACACAAATCATTATTTTTTTATAATTTGTAAAAATTACCACAAAAAAAAAAAAGTCTCATAAAAATGAGCTGTCAAGAAAAACAAACATATTGCTGGATGTTATGTTGATTTGGGATCATTTGAAGTATTACATTTGGGAAATTATGTTCATGCTTTAATTTAATTATGTTCATGATTTATTAATCATTTGATTACAATGATTAATAAATGTGCCAATGTCAATTCAAATTCAATTAAATATAAAGTTTTAGTAGGCTTGCTGACAAGGAATGTGTTATTTATTCAGTTTATGATAAAACAATCAAATTAATCATAAATATGACAAATATTTATGGTAAGCACTTCTTCTGTCACTCAGACCTTGTGTGAATATTGACAACAAGAGACAGCAGAATCCTATAAGACCGCAGCAGACTTCCTGTGTACTTTGGGTATTAGTGCGTTCCACATGTCCACAGTCTGTTGCTGGGCGATTGGATCACTGCTGTAGTCCAGGAGATTTCCGTTCCACATCCCGATTCCTTTCAGACCATGCTGTGACACATAGGCAGCTTTTAGAGCAATACTTTCTGGGTCATCATACCACACCTGATGGACCTTGCCTTCTGTGTCCTGTAAATAAAAATCGTATGCATTTTATGGAAAATATAACATGTCTGTCTAAAATACATTGACTCATATAAACTCAATATCCCTCGCATTAAGATGAATAAAAACTGACCACTGGAATTGCATTATGTTTGAAAAGGTGTATTTTATACTGTTGTAAATATTGTGATAAAACATTTAGAATTGATACTGTACCTTGTAATTATAATATGGAGCTCGCTGGTTCTCATCCCACAGTCTTCCTGATATTGAGCTGTTGATCTGTTTCATCATGATGCTGTAGGGAATTTGTTTGCCGGATGCATCACTACATGGAGCCCCTCTGAATGGCACTTTTGGAATTGTACATATTCCATCCTGTTAGAATAACAAAGAGTGTCAAACAGAATATCAGTTAAAGCAATTATGACTTCTCTGTTCTATTGTCTAATCTACATAACATTAAATTATTGTTGTAATAACTTTTCTATAACAAATATATATATATATATATATATATATATATATATATATATATATATATATATATATATATTATAACAAAAACGTTTTAACTATTGCATTATGATGAATTATGATTTATTATTTGAATAGGCTGCTATATTGGCCATCAAATAGGCCAATATGACCAGAAAGTGTGTTAACAGATGCGTTCACAGATTTTATGTCAAGTCACCTTTAATTTTAACCGGTCATTTTCCACAGCTGTAGGCAAAGGCAAGCTGGCTTCAAATCAGTGCTTCTCCCGGGAGACTAGCGCTAAATTAATCCCCTAGCTTAGCACCATCTACTGTTTTAGAAGAGGAAGTTGCTCAACTGCATTTGTGAGAAAATCTGCCTGGACACATTTGTGAGAAAATCGAGCTGAGAGATCTCATAAAAAGTGTCTCACAATCATAACAGACAGATATGCATTTGTATGCACTAGATTTGGTATTTGTTCAAAGGTTGTAGGATGGTTTGTATTTTTTTTTAAATATTATCTAGGCTCATTTATTTATATTTGCTAAACACAATGCATATGTGTTACTCCACTGCATTTTCGCTCAAATTGACCTAGTTTGTACTTGCACATTGCTTTCTGTTTGTTTGCGAGTCGAATTTTCCTTTGCAAAGCAGATCGAGTTTGTTTGCGAGTCGAATTTTCCTTTGCAAAGCAGATCGAGTTTGTTTGCAAAAAGCTGGATTTGTTTGTTTAATTATGGCACAATATTAAAGGTGCCCTAGAATGTGTTGAAATAATATTTTAATTTTGTCTCTGATATCTACATAGAGGGTATGTGGCTTATTTAAGGGCATTTAAAATGTTAAAATGGTTTTACAGGTCCATTTTCAACTCTAGAAATTGGCCCTAGAATGAAATGGTCTGTTTTTACCTTGTTTGAAAGGGTCATGAATAGTAATGAGTAGTTCTGCTCTGATTGGCTGTTTCACTGTTTCACTTCACACACTCTGAAATACAAGCGTGCAAAATAATCATACGTCAGTTTTCAAAAATTAAAACATTTTAACAAATGGACTAACGTTAGATGCCTTGTCAAATAAATAGCTTCAACTTAAGTGGTGGAGAATGTGACATTAGCTAGAAGGATCGAGTGAGCTAACATTATCTGTGAGCAACTAAACTAATGTAGTTAGCCCCTGACGTGTTGTTGATGAAATAGACGAAAGTAAAATTATTTGACAAAAGGGAATTTACATATGTATCTACAGTATTATTTTGTAGATTTACACTCACCGGCCACTTTATTAGGTACACCTGTCCAACTGCTCGTTAACACTTAATTTCTAAGCAGCCAATCACATGGTGGCAACTCAGTGCATTTAGGCATGTAGACATGGTCAAGACAATCTCCTGCAGTTCAAACCGAGCATCAGTATGGGGAAGAAAGTTGATTTGAGTGACTTTGAACGTGGCATGATTGTTGGTGCCAGAAGGGCTGGTCTGAGTATTTCAGAAACTGCTAATCTACTGGGATTTTCACGCACAACCATCTCTAGGGTTTACAGAGAATGGTCCGAAAAAGAAAAAACATCCAGTGAGCGGCAGTTCTGTGGGCGGAAATGCCTTGTTGATGCCAGAGGTCAGAGGAGAATGGCCAGACTGGTTCGAGCTGATAGAAGGGCAACAGTGACTGAAATAACCACTCGTTACAACCGAGGTATGCAGCAAAGCATTTGTGAAGCCACAACACGCACAACCTTGAGGCGGATGGGCTACAACAGCAGAAGACTCCACCGGGTACCACTCATCTCCACTACAAATAGGAAAAAGAGGCTACAATTTGCAAGAGCTCACCAAAATTGAACAGTTGAAGACTGGAAAAATGTTGCCTGGTCTGATGAGTCTCGATTTCTGTTGAGACATTCAGATGTTAGAGTCAGAATTTGGCGTAAACAGAATGAGAACATGGAACCATCATGCCTTGTTACCACTGTGCAGGCTGGTGGTGGTGGTGTAATTGTGTGGGGGATGTTTTCCTGGCACACTTTAGGCCCCTTAGTGCCAATTGGGCATCGTTTAAATGCCACGGCCTACCTGAGCATTGTTTCTGACCATGTCCATCCCTTTATGGCCACCATGTACCCATCCTCTGATGGCTACTTCCACCATGTCACAAAGCTCTAATCATTTCAAATTGGTTTCTTGAACATGACAATGAGTTCACTGTACTAAAATGGCCTCCACAGTCACCAGATCTCAACCCAATAGAGCATCTTTGGGATGTGGTGGAACGGGAGATTCGCATCATGGATGTGCAGCCGACAAATCTGCGGCAACTGTGTGATGCCATCATGTCAATATGGACCAAACTCCCTGAGGAATGCTTCCAGCACCTTGTTGAATCTATGCCACGAAGAATTGAGGCAGTTCTGAAGGCAAAAGGGGGTCCAACCCGTTACTAGCATGGGGTACCTAATAAAGTGGCCGGTGAGTGTATATGACAACACAGGCAATAAATATTAACCTCAGCGTAAATACTTTGTCATACTATTTAGTTATGTATGCTCGTTACTTGGTGTTCTCTTACGAGAGGTTCTCTCGTACTGCGTAATGTCTTACGCTAGGGGAAAACATCTTTTCCACGAGATATTGAAGCCAAAAATTATCCTTAATTTTGAATTAATGTAAAATGCGTTGCGGCAGCATGCAGACATAGGAAAGGCGGCTCGCGTGCCTATTGGCTGGCCTGCGGCAACTGCAGCACCCTATCGAGAGAGGCCCTTGGTGACGTCAGATCCAATGGGGGCACCTCGCGCCCACTACGTCACCTCCCACCAAAGCGGGCGTGGCCTGGGCCTATAAATATAGCTCGATGGGCTGATATAATCTGATTTTTCATCTCTTCAGCGAAGCTCACGCATCGCTGGATCCGGAGTGAAGAAGCCGCGCCATTTGAGAAAAGTCTTCTGCGGGATGAGCCTCTGCATCTGAAGCCACTGGCCTTCATCTCGCCGCTTTCAGTCGCCGTACCTGCTACGCTTTCCGGCGTTATATCCTTTTTACTCTGCCTAGTGTGTGTTCGCCGCCGAGACTCGCACTCTCTCTCTCTATCCTCTCTAAAAGAGCAAGCGTCTTTTTGAAGATGCCTTTCTCCTGCGGCTCGTGCCGAGCCCCACTCAGCGCCGGGGACCACCATGTAATTTGCGTTTCCTGCCTGGGAGAGGATCATGCAGCTCTCGCGCTCGCTGACGGTGACTGCCCTCAGTGTGAGCTATTACCCATGGCGCCTCTGAGGACTCGCCTAGCATCCTTCGCCGAGACTGCACTTCCACCCGCTACAGTGCCGCGCCGTAAAAAGCGCCTTACTCAGCGGGGTCTCCGAGCCTTCTCTAGCCTGCGACAGCTCGCCGGTTCGCCCGCCAGCTTCACTCGGGTCGCTCACCGACGGACAATGGCTGCCATCCGCCGCTGCTTCCGCCATTGACGACGACGAGGCAGCTGTATCTGTGGAGGAGGCCAGCTGCTCTATCCTGGCGTCGGACAGTGAGGATTGGGCGAGCTCCGTTTCCGCCGTGGGCGAGCTCCGTGGCGAGCTCCGTTTCCTGCAAAGGGACCGCGCCCTACCGCCTTCTAGGCCCGCACCTTTTCTTCCTGAGCTCCATTAAGTCGCGAAGTCCTGGAATGCCCCCTTCTCAGCCAGAGTGCGCTCCTCTGTCTCAGCAGCATTCTCCGTGGTGGACGGTGTGAAAGACAGAGGATACCACTCTCTTCCTCCCGTGGAAGAAGCTGTAGCGGCCCATCTTTGCCTGCCCTCTGCTGGACGGCGAGCTAAGACGGCGCTACCTTCCAAAGCTTGCCGCACTACTTCCGCCATGCACACCCGCGCTTATTCCGCCGCTGGGCAGGCTGTGTCGGCATTGCACTCTATGGCCATATTGCAGATACTCCAGGCCGACCTTCTCCGAAAAATGGATGAGGAAGGACCGGAAGCTATCAGCGTGCCGGATTTAAAGAGCGCTACGGACCTGGCTCTTCACGCCGCGAAATCCGCTGCACAGGCCATTGGGCGGACCTTGGCTTCTCTCACCGTTGCTGAGAGACACCTTTGGCTGACGCTATCGAAGATGCCGGACTCGGAGTGCTCTGTGTTCCTCGACGCACCCATGTCCCCAGCTGGCCTCTTTGGATCATCCGTCAAGGATTTCGCGGATAGATTTGCCGAGGTTCAGAAGACGTCACAGGCTATGAAGCACTTCTTTCCAAAGCGCTCTAGCTCCACAGCAGGTCGCCCAAAACAGCCGTCTGCTCGAAGCTCCCGGCCACAGCCTCCGCCCGCCGCTGCTTCACAGCGCCGTCAGGCCCGGGACCAGAGCCCCGGCCGAAGATTGAGATAAAGCCGAGGCCTCAAAGTCTTCCTAGCCCTCCTAGGAAAACGACGGTGTTCAAGTCTCGCCGCGGCCAGACTTCCACCAAAACTTTTCGCTCGTTCAGTTCCAGAAAATGCGACTGTTCCAGTGTATTCTGCAGTAAACAAGCCGGTACCACGGCCCGCTTGCCTGCACACAAACGCCGTTTTTACGGCGACCCAGATAAATCACATGAAGAGTGTAATTTCTGGTGTTCCGGCCACAGCCGATTGTGTTACGAGTGTAATAAAAATGCCCATAGCCCAGTGTTCATTTCTACACACAAACACAGCCCGCCACAGTACAGGACTCGCACAAATAAAATCGACTCATGTCGATTGTGCATTAAATGTAGTGAATGTGCCCACAACCCAGTGCCCACAAACACTACACACTGCATGTCCCACGGTTTCTGTAAAAACGAAACCAACACACATACAGTCAGCTCAGGCCGACGGTGTTTTCAGTGCAGTAAATGTGCCCGCTGTCCCGTGCCCACATTCACT